TCATTGCAGTTTCCCTCCAGAAGGGCAACTCGGAGGAGCAAGCTGGAGATGGCAACGGTGGCCACTCTGCTGAGAGCACATCAGGGTCTTAGAGACGAGCTTTGGAGAACTAGCTTTGCTTTGTCTAGCCCTCTATGATGAGAAGATGAAGAGAATTATGGTTCTAAGCATATCTTGCTTTTACCCTAATGGCTATAACCACTTGCTGAGGGCTTGAACCTGGGTTTGAGTTCTGGCTCCAGCAATCACTAACTGGCATGGTGTTGGGGAAACTACTTAAACTTTTTCAGCCTCAGGTTCCCTGTGTTTGAATGAGGGGGGCAATGGTTGATGATTAAATGGCATAACAATCGTAGAGTTTTCAATAAATGTTAGTTATTACCATCATCCCTTCGGCCCCTCCTAGAAGACCTTTTTGGGCATGTTCATGTAGAAGTTAGTAATAGCCAACTCACCTCTTCCAGGGTAAGAGTCAGTCAGGGGTTAATTCTGAAGTAAAGCTTTATCTTTCAGAGTTTACAAAATACCTCTGGCTCTTGACATAGGGTATTTGGGGAGGATTAAAGGACCCAGTGAAGCTATTTGAGCTACCATGGCTGCAGAATTAAAGACCTGTACATTTCAGGAGTTTCAAAAATCTGAGACAGCTTGGCACAAAATGATTTTTTCTTTTTTCATTTCCACTCACATAGACTAAAAATACACACGGAAGGGATTTTCCATTCACAATCTGCTTTCAGTGTGGGCATTTTGCTCTTATTCCATGCTGGGGGGCAGGTTCAAAGGGAGCAATGATAGTATTGAAGTAGGTTGTTGCTGAACTTAAATAGAGGCCAGAACTATGAGACAAGGGAGAAGGAAATAGAAAAAGGGTTCCTAGGCTTAAGGGCATAAGTGAAAGTACAGCCTGGTCACCAGTGTTAGAATCAGGGAGGCACGTAGACTCTTGTCCTCTACCAAGAAGTCACAAGGTATGTAAGGTCACTGCTGTCTTTGTGTTGGATGGAATTAGTGCCTGGAGGTCACGGGAGTTGAGGGGTTTTTCCTCCTTGGAAGGGAGCTTTCATCTAATGTTTCCCATATGTTGATAGTGTTCAGACTGGCCCGGGATTAGATTCAAGGGGATTCCCTGAGATCTCCTCAAAGTGAGAGGTGATTGAACCATAACCTTCATCTCTGAGGCTGTGGGAGTATCTGTGGTCAGAGCCTACAGTCTTTTTCTGGCCGTCCTGGGATTCACTGCCCCAAGGCTAGGCATACCACTTTTTACTTTGTCTCCCAAACAGCCCTTTTAAAGCCTGGTGCTTAGCTCATCTGGCTCTCAGAGAGCGTGCAGGTACAGGGAGAGCCCTGCTTTTCCATTCAGAGCTCCCATCTGTACAGCCCTGTGAAGCGTGTGCCTGCTTTTCTGGAATGAAGATTAGCAGTAATGACCTGACTTCTACCTCTGGTGTCATTCTCTCCCAGGGCTGAAACTTGAACTTCTCTGTTTCCAGGCAGAGAACTGCACCACCATGAGCTGACCTTTTCTGAACACTGAAAAATGGAATATACCGGCTATCCCATAAAATCAATAGACACCAATGCCAGATGGAGGCTTTCCTTCCATCCTGGCCAATCACTGAAAGACATCATTCAAGGTTCTGTAGAAGGCCAGCCCAGGCTGACTTTGGAGGCAATGCAGCACAGTGACAAGAAGAGTGGGGCTTTAGTCAAAGTTTGGGTTCAAAGCCAACTCTGCTCCTCACTTACGGAAAGCCCTCAGGTGAGTCACTTAACTTCCTTGGGCTTTGGTTTCTTTGTCCATAAAACAGAGCTGGTAATTTATAAGTTGCAGTGTTAGAGTGAGAAATAGATGAGAAACCATAGGCAAACCCTTCTATCACATAGGTGACACACAGTTAGTCCTCAACAGTAACTACTGTGTGCGTGTATGTTTTCTCATCACAAAGGAATTGTGTATTTAGAGTCAACTATATGTTCACCTACTTTCTACTTTTCTGACTGAAGTGACTTCAGTATGGAAGTACTTGTGCTTTACACCAGCTAGATGTTCTTTCCCATAAGAAAACATGGCTGTATGTCTATGGAAATCCAGGGGGAGAAGAGAATAGATGCCCTTAGTTCATTATGAGCATTAGAAAGGGTAGGATTAAGGGGGGTATGTTTTTCATTCCGTCAGCTTGAATTCCCTTTCCAAATTCCATTCTGGTTATATGATCAGGCTACCACTGTATTTATGGGTGGCCGCAGTCTGGCTGGAGGGGCAGATTTAGGGAGAAAGGAAGCTTTTTCCTTCTAAAGGAAGTGCAAGAAGCAGCAACGTACAAAAGGAACATGGTAGACTGTGCTTCTGATCTGGGGATCACGGAGACCTGTGTCTGAAAACTGGCTCCATCACTCTGAGTTCTGGGACTCCGGAGAACTGTCTCCTCCTCTTTGTTCTTCAAGCTATGTGTTTGTCCAATAGGCACGGTTCCCTTCTCAGAGCCATTGTGGACGTTTAGTGAGATGATGCGCACAAAGAACTTATAGATTAGAGAAGGGTTTCTGTATATTTTGGCTATTGTTACCATTAAGATTAATTAAAATAAGCATCCTTCTTTAGGTCTTTTAAACTTCCTACATATACACCTGCCTACTGTACCACTCAGGGTATTACTCTGACACTCACTGAAGGTGGGGACTTGGAGGGGCAATGGGCTGTTGAGGTGCAAAATGGAAGCCTGATCTCTCACTGCCTGGCTTCCTGATTTCCATTTTAACTGTGTTTTGTGTCATTCAAGTTTCTGCAGAAAAGCCCCAGAGGCTGAGAGCAACAGGGTGAGTTTCGGACCCTCCCCCGCCACTTCAACCAGAGCAGCCCCCATTTACTGTGTCATGTATTGGGATTCTGCTCTCAATTTGATTTAGTGACTATTTCTACTACCAGAAATAAGTTTGAAAGCCACCGTCTTAGAACACTGGCTTTGGATAAGTCCTTGTGAACTGATAAGCAGGAAGACCAAGAAAAGCCCTTACTGTATGTCAAGAGTTTGCTGGGTATTATCTCATTTGAATGTCACAAGAGCTCTGGAGATAGAGACTGTCATCCTCTTTACGTAGATGACAAAGCTGAGGGCTGCAAGACCAGTGACTTCTTTGCAGGGGGGCAGTTAGTGGAAGATGAGATGAGGAAGCTAGGTTTTTAAAACAGAGCAGAGTAAAAAACCTTAAAAGACTGTAGAGCTTAGTAACACCTTTTCCAACTCTTATCCAATCCCTACAGAGCAAACCAGAGAATATTCATATCAAGCCCCCTTTTCTCCGCTCAAATGCCACCCCTCCTTGAAATGCACAGGGTCAGAGTACACTCGTGTACTCTGCAAAGGCACACAAAAGGCACAGATGCATGCAATGCCAGCAAACTTTCCCCAAGTTTCTTTCACACTGAACAAACCTTCCCCAAGTCCTGAGCTGGGCTTCCCATATCACAGAACAAGGTGGGCAGCTGGCTGTGGCGGGTGGGAGGTTTTATTTCTAAAGCACATAAGGGAAAGCTCCATAAAAAATGGAAAAAAAGGTCCACAAATACATGAAAAAGAGGTATTCATTCTTCAAGTGGGGCTCCCTGTCTTGCTCTGCCTCTGGTCAGAAAGCGTTTCCAGAGTACCCCGGCAGCATCGTGCTTTATAGCCGACAGCTTTAGAATCTGCAAATGCCCAAACTCAAAACCTCGCGCACTCTGGAATCAGAACCCGACATTTGCATCCAGCCTCAGGCTGCTTCCCTTTTTCCCCACTGGTGCCAGCATGAGACCTCATGGTTGTAAAAGACAGCCAAGGCTCTGACCTGCCAGCCTGGTGAGACACCTCAGACCCGGTGAGATAAAAAGAAGGGGAGTAGGGATGGGTGGGTGGGAGGGAGGACAGTGGGAGAAACAATCCAAGACTGGCTGAATGCCTCTTTGAACTTCCAAGGTGATGGTGGTTCCAGTTGGTGGAACACTCATTCATCTAGACCCTTTATACCCTGTTTGCTGCTCACACTGACAACAGTGGGTATTGTCCCCATTTTAGAGAGGTGGAAACTGAGGCTCAGAGAGGTTACGTATTTTCATCAGGGTCACATCTTTGATGGTGGTGGTAGGGATGCCAAAGTGACCCCAAGTTTCAACACCTGAGCTTCTGACTCCCTTAGCATCCTGATGAGAGAGAGGAACCCTACACCTTGTCTATTCTGCCAGGCGGCATTTCCCATTCCTGGGGGAAATTGTTTCTCAGGGCTTTCTGGAATGACAGGTGAAGAGGGAGAGATGATTCTAGAAAGATATGGGAAACTGCTGGCTCTAAGCACCCCAACCATGGACACGTATCCAGACTGAGGATCAGGGAGTCCCCATGCCCTTCCAAACAGAAGCTGGTGTCCAGCATTCCCATCCTGGGGTCTGTAGTTGGTCATCTGTCCCTAGGAGTCACCTGCTCTTTTCTGGCCCCCAGTCCTCACCCCTTTAGATGACTGAATACAGGGCGATTGTTGTGGAATGAGCGGATGGATACAAAACTCATTTGTAGACTGTAAGGTAAGGGCTGCTTAGATGTAAAATGTTCTCTCTACAATCCTCTATCAATCTCCCCCAAATAAGACCATGAACAAACTTTGCTTTCAGACTCTCCTTCCCTAAGCCAAAAGCAAAAGTATTCACAGGTGAATCAGCCAGGCAGGGAGTAAGAGAAAATTCTTACTTTCCTCTGAAGAACAGCAGAGATAAAAACTTTACAAGAAGTTCCTTCCATGTGTGACTACTCATAGAACTGAAACAAACAGACAAAACTCTACCAGACTGGAGGGAGGGAAGTAGGAAACAGTCAAGGTGCATCTGATTAAAACAAATACCCCACTTTGCCAGCAGCCAAGATGAAGCAAAAGTTTTAATATTACGAAACCACAATTCATTTGGTACTAGGAATGCAAACAGTGTATCATAATCATCTTTGGTGATGGGGGTGAAACGGACTTACCTTTCCGGAGTTGGGAGAGACCTAGATCCTTGAGTGAACCAGCAGCTCCACGGACTGGGTACCTGGAGGTGAGGAGCGGCAGGGCCCCCACATGCGCTGCCCCCCCAGCGTCACTCCGCGCCCTCACCGTCTTTGTGCACAGGAGGGGCTGGTGTGTGCGGGTCTGCGCGGGAGCGCGTGGGACAGTAGGCAGCCTGTGGCCAGAGCAGCCAGCTTTGCCTGGCTTATATAGTGAGCTCTTTCCTCTGTAATGGGACGCCTCGCCTCCAGACATCCTTTCCCACTTTTTCAGTTGGTGAATTAAAGGCACAGCCCTCCCAGTGGAACAGGGTTAGCTCATGAAAGGCTACTCACTCCCCTGCTCTTTGCCAGGAAAGGAGCCCATTTGCATACAATTTAGGCGAAAGTAGGAATTCCTGCTTCCCTTGCCTCCTGCACCGACTCAGAGCAGCCGTTAGTGAAGTGTGATTTTTGATTTGATCCCCAAACTGTAATTTCTAACTGAGACAGAAGCGCAGGGAGTGAGAGGGAGCAGGATCTGCAGCTCTGCATCTGCCACTCGGGGCGGGCTGGAAATGCGACCCAGGACTCGCCAGGGCTCCGGGCAGCAGCTGCTCAGTGGCGCTTCCCAGAAAGTAAAGGGGCTGAACCGGGTTCCTGGAAAGAGGAGATAAAGACCTTCAAAAGCTGGGGGCGTGTTGGGTTTCTCTGGGCCAACAGAGAGATAACCCAGGATTAGTTCCCAGCAGGTGGGGATGGCGCTAGGAGCACAGAGCGCCCTGCTGCTGCTTTTCTGCGGGAGCAAGCGGTGCCCAGCTGCCTGGAGGCGTCACTGTCCCAGCAGCCCCAGCCCCGGTGCCCTACAGGGGAGCAGCTTTTTGATACTGTTCGTGCCTGTGCGTGGTTCATTCTTCTAAACTGCCCTCCCGGGAAAGGTCTCGGGTTTCTTTTCAATGCTGAAAGGTATCCACCACAAGAAAGAAAAATGGGCTAAAACAACTTAATCTTTGGGAGATGTAAGCTATGCTTTTGCTCTCCAGCCTGCTGTGGATTCTCTCCAAGCTCTGAGTCATCCATTCCTTTGGTGGTTAGCATCATGCATTGAGTATCCGCAGGGCATGCACACCACACAGGCATTTGAAGGAGTGGGAAGAAGTGAGGGCATGGCACCCATGCTTAAACGTGTCATAGCACATGACAGTTTTGTGATAGTGGAGGGCATCATGTAATCTGCAGCTATGGCTGGACCCTCCATTTTTAATTAAGTCTATGTTAGGTGCTGTGTAAGACACTTGACAGACATTATTTCATTACATCCTTGCAACTATCATGTGGGATAGGCCCAAGAGTTGTCCCCTTTTTACAGAGGAAGAAACTGAGGTCCAGAGAAATAAAATGATTCCACTGAGAGAATACACCTGGGAAGTGTTCAGAGTGCAACACTGGGCCCCAGAGTTCTTTCTATTCCACATCTCTGCCCAGGAACACTGTAAGATGGTATTTATGTGATGGTTTATGCCCTCTTTGATTACAACACTAATTGTATAAAAATCACTGCCATATTTGGCCACAGAAAATAAAGTTTTTGTTCCATAGAAGCAATTAGGAGAGCTTTTTAATTAACTACTAATAAGGGGGGGTTAATTACCCACTTATTTTCAATAGTGAATGGTATCATCCCCACACTTATTATTATTGCTGTGGGCCTCAGTTTCTCCTCCTGGAAAAAGTGGGACAAGATTAGGTCATTCCTCGGGTCCCTCTGGCTCTGGCATTCTAGGATTCTCTGCTTATGTGATCCCTCCCAGACAGCAAGAAAGTCCATAAATAGTCATGTCATAAAACAGCTCATTTGAACTTTTGAACCATTTTGGCTGATCCAAATGTTGATTGTTTTGGAAGTTTTTAATTCTGTGTTTTAGCCAAAGCATATTGCAGTAGCATGAGGCTGTGTCTTTCAACTAGTAGTGAACACTCCCATGCTTCTTGGTTTTTCAAAGCCTACCGAGCTTCTCTCCTGGTTTGTGGAATAAAATATTCGAATAGTATATAATACATGTCACATAGCATGAAGATGACATTTACATATAATATATAATGAACATATATTGGCAATTATGTGTGTATTTAACTGAGGTAAGAGAACAACGCTTGGAAAACTGGGTAATAAATATGGTTTCTTCTAGGAATAACCCAACTTCTTGATGGAGTTTCCCAGATTTCTCCCACAAGAAATGCTTCCATAAACCATAGCATCTGGTATCTCTGTTAGGACATTTCTTATCTCTCTGTGGTATAATCATACATATGTATCTCTAATTTTTCCTCCTACAGTCTTGGCTTGCAGAAGGCAGGGATTACACCTGATTTTTCTGTGCTTAGCACAGAGCCTTGGGTATTGTAGAAATTCATTAAATGTTTAGTGAATGAATGCAGCAATGGAGGAATGAGTGAATGGTTGACATGCTGTGCTGTATAATTAAATCGTTGCTTTTTCACCCGCAGAACATGAGAAGGAGACTAGATTATAGTGTCTAACCCAGCCCAAGAAATGACTTGCCCAAGGCCACCCTGGCTGCTTTCCACACAGAGAGTTATCCCAGTCAGAACGTAACAACCAGCTCACACTAGACCTCACAGCAGAGGATGTTTATGGAATTAGTAACCATTCCTTCTCCTCTTTGGCAGGAGCTGCACCTCTTGGCATCTGATCTCTTACGGCTGTGTCCTTCCCATTCCTGTAAGCACTTTTTGCACACAAGGGCAAAGTGAATACTTGTAAACGCCACCTCTGCGTGGAGTTCTCAGCCAGAGACAAGGTTTTGTGGCTCTTGTTGCTGCTTGTTTGTAATCCTCCTCCTGGGTTGCTAGTGGAGGCTGTGGTTTGGGGGCCCAAGGGAGCACGGGGTTTTCCCGCAGGTGAGACCATTCTCCTTTCCTTGAAGGTCTGTTATATGTGATGTTCTTTTTATTTTCCAGATAGATCAGCCAACGAGTGGAGTAGTGACCAGAACTAGCCCTATCTGAGGAAGCCTAGCACCATTTCTTTAAGAAGTTGGCCCCCACTCCCCAGGGGACCCCTTGCTCCCCACCCCTGCTTACCTCCTCCTTCACCATTCTCAATCTCCTCTTCCTGGGATTCATCCAATGTGCTAACTCCAGTCTAAAAGTCCCATGTGGCTCTGTAATTGCCAGAAATCTCTCCCAAAGCAATGAAGGAGCTCTTATCCAACACACTGGGCCAGTGATTCAATTAGATGCGTTTGTTTAGGGTCAAGCTTCTCCAGCTTGATGTCTGCAAGTCTTCATTCAGTGTTCTCCTTCTTCATCTCTTTTCAGTTTTCTAGATGACAAAGGACAGAAAAGCTCAAAGGCATCACTAATGAGTGGCAAGACAGAGGAGAGCTTCCCTGCCTGGTGGAATAGGGCAAGTCAGCTGCATAACCAACCAATAAGTAGATTGTCTGGTCAGCGCAGCAGGGTGGAAAGAGCGTGGTTCAGAGTGCGTTCAAGTCCTGATGCTGCACCAACTGGCTGGTGCCCTTGGATGATTCCCTTCCTTTTCCTGGCTCTCAGTGTCCTGGTTGGCAAATGAGCAGCCCCTAGGATCTTAGCAACTTATTCAAAGAAATTATTTAGAGGACTCTGAATCTTTGCACATTCAATTTCCTATCCCTAGAATAACCCTCCTCCCACATGGCACATTTCTGTATTATTTTGGAGATCTACTTTATAGTACTTCTAAGAAAGTGTCTATAATTTTACATTTAGAGAGAAGGGCCCCTCCTCCATGCTCATCTGGACTTTGTTAGCACATTGCATACTTGCTGGGTGACCCCAGTAGACTGTGAACACTTTGAGGGTAGGCACTGTACCTTTTCATCTGCTTATTAACAGGTCTGTTTATAGCCAGCATCTTGTTACATACATATTAATTAGTTTGAATACCATTCCTACATATTATGGCTTTTGGAATACACAGATCTATAGTAGATTTTGGGGGTAAACAAGAAACCTTCTTGAAATGATTTATTAGATGTTTAGAGACTTTATTGTCATTGTTGTCACTGATTTACTCACCCATTTCCCCAGTGGGTCTGTGACAGCTACTTGAGGACAAGGCCCTTGGTTTCCATCCCAGAGCAACAGGAAGTCAATCAGTGTACCCATGAAATGACTGACTGACAGCTGATTGGCTGAAAGACGGAAAAGGTGGAAAAGGTGTAAGATTGGCACAAGTCCTTTTGGGTTTAGTCAGCTTGACCATTTACAAGACGAATTACTTTGAGGAAATTATGAATTACAAGGTGAATTACTTTGAGGAAATCATGAACCTGAAGCTCACACTCCTCATTTGTGAGACAGATAAAAATCCCTCCGTCTACTACCTCGCAGAGTTAGTTTGAAGATTAAGAGAGTGGAAGAGAAAGTGAGGACCTCTGCAGAATTTTTAAATGATGACTTATTATTCCCCTACCCCCAAATCCCAGTCAAAAGCTCACACTTGGCACAGTTATATTGTGCTTACAGGAGCATGAGCCCTAGCTTCTATCTAAAGTATTTCTGCAGGAGTTAGCAGGGCTAAGAGAGTTGAAGCCACCTGGCACTGTCTTGTCTACTAATACTTTCTAAAGACTACTTCTTAGCTGGAGGCCAAAGGAGAAGAGGGAGAGTTCAAAAGATCAGCATTGACCAGTGCTAAGCTGGAAGGTCTGGAGCTGTGCATTCCCTACAGAGGGCTGGGGAAGTGGCTTTGGCCATATTTACTGGGCTGAGCCCAGGCTGCAGTGATGAATGTTGGTGAGTCAAACCGTCTCAGTCTTATGCAGTTCACAGAGGGGAATACACAATGTTGAAGTCAATACAGATTGAGTATCTTTGACTGATTTGCCATAGGTGAGTTAGAGACTTGTGAGGGAGTTTAATTTATCCCTTTTCCTTATTTCTCTCCTTGTTTATACTTAGATTTTTTTTGTGGACAATGATGGATAACAGTGATGCACATTTATTGAGTAGCCCCTGCTTATTTAGGCAAATTTAAAAATGTTTGCGTGTATTAAAGTTCTTTACAATGAGTCTATTAGGTAGATGCTATCACTATTCTCATTTTGAAAATGGGGATTTTGAGATACAAAGAGGTTAAGTAAATTGTCTAGGTCACATTACTAAGAAGGCAGCAAGATAATTCAAACCCAGCTTGTAGACTCTGTCTCCAACTTCCTATTATTTGGGGAGAGGGGTGCTTCCATATGTATTTAATTTAACAATTGCACAAAGGCAAAGGTGGCATTCTTGGACTCACGTGAAGCACCGTGAGTAATTACAGAGTCTGTGCATGAAGTCTGCGGAGGCTACCAGGGTTTGGGTTGTTTCCCTGGGGATGCGGCAGCAAGGGGCAGTGCAAAGGCTATCTTATCTCTGTGTGTGCTAATGCTGGAACAGTGGAGGTACCTGGCATGGAGATGGCTCCCGTCCTAATTATACTACTAACTAGTTAGAAAAGGAATGGGACCTTGGGAAAATTACATCCTTGTTATAGGTCCCTCATTTATAAAATGGGTATAATAGCCA